GGTCAGTTTTCCTTTAGGATCGCCCCAGCCGTTGCACCCACGTGTGGCCGATTCCAACCGGCCCACCATCATCTGTCTTGCCGCTTCGCTGCCTAGTGCCGACGCGTGCTGACAGTCTACGCCATCGACCACATCGCCACCAGGCCTGTTTTTCGCTGCCGTTCGATCGGCCGACAATCTGGTTCTGGAAGTGGTTCATGGGATTTATAGGACCTTGCTGGAGGCAGGTCATTTTTGGTATAATCTTCCCCCTCGCATCTCTCTGTGGTTACGACGAGAATTCGAAGGCAGGAGAGTGGTTCCCACCGCCGCCAGCGGCGTACGAGAACCAGAGCGCGCACCCTCTTGAGGGGGGTGATTTCCGGACTGGTGCCCTGGACTCGGAGAGCAGCTTTCGCGGCAGACATCCTGGAAAGACACCATTCGAACTCGCAGCTGGCTACAAGAGCCAGACGATTGGTACAGCTGCGACCGCTCACCAGATCGGCAGTGGATATGACTACTTGGAGATGTACCACGTGCCGACAGTCATGCAAAGCCACGGCAACCTACTGCCCGAGCTGCGGCGGACACTGGCAACAGGTCGCAGAGCAGGAGGAGCAGTACACGCGGAGACAGCACCCGGTTCCTTGGGCGGATCAGGGCCAAGGAGCGCGGGAGCGCTGGGAATCGCCCAGGCGACGGGCCGAACAGTCGCCAAGAAGACGCGGAGGAGTTGCCAAGAAAGGCAAGGGCAAAAGGGCTCAAGAGGCCAATCCCGGGAAGGGAAAGACGCCGCCTGCCACGACAGCTGTGCCCGACATCACGCAGCTACCCGAAGTGCCCAAAGCAGCGCGACCACCGCTCCCGAAACAAGGGGAGTCAACAGCAGCTGGCCCGACAGAAGACAGAAAGCTCTTGGAACAGCTGATGGAACAGCTGACTGTCAGTGGTACCGAGCTGCCGGCAGGACTCGCAGCCATGGTGAATCAATATCAGGCCGAGAACCACCGACTACATGGTCGACAACTACACCAGCTGGTGGCACGACAGACCCAGGCTCGACGCGAAATCGCCAAGCTGGACAGGGAGGCGCAGGCGTTCGAAGGCGCATGGACCAACTACATGGTGCGTCTTTCAGAGCTGGTCCAGAACCAGCTTGCAGAGCGACAGAAGCATATCGAGGAGCGGGAGAATGCCAAGGCTGCATGGCAAGCACAGCTGGCAGATGCTACGTCGCAACTGGCGGCCTCCACAGGTCCGGCAGCAATGTCAAAGCCGCCGACAACGGAGGCAGAGATGGACGCGGAGGACGAGGCCATCGACCAGGCGATCGAGGACGAGGCGGATCAGCGCCGTGCTCGCGCACAGGCGGCGGAGCAGTTTCAGGCGATGCTGCAGATGCTGCAAAGCCAGCCACAACTTGTGCGGTCCAGAGATGGCTCGCGCACTCCGCGCAGGCGCAAGGATGCCAAAGAGGCCGAGGCAGTGGACTCGTCGCCAGAATTGGCGGCCGCTATTCCTGGTGCAGCCGGCTCATTGCCTGCTGCGCCTGGGCAAGCCAAGGAGGAAGCGCCCAAGTTGGGCCCTCAATAGGCTCCTGCAGCAGCTACTCGAGTGTGCAGGAGCCGAGCCTCGATGGAACCAGCTTTGCTCATTCCATCACCTATGATATGAACTACGTCTCGCCGTTCCTTGCCCAGCTCCTGGCCTTACAGTTGGAGTTCGAGGTAAAGGAATGCTTCCCGGAAGCTATGTTCCAGGGCCTACTGGATGGTAGGCTGGAGGCTGGAACAGCAGGCGATGATCAGTTCCCATGGTCAGCACCTTCGGCAGACGATGGGGATGACAGTTTTGAGAAGTTTGATGTACTATGCGACGACGCAAACAGCTTTTTCGTTTGCGCAAGAGATGGCCGGGACGGAGCTCAGTCCAGAAAGCGCAGTGGATGTTTACACACCCTGCCGTACCTTATTGCACCCAAGGCTGGGGTCCTTAGCGGTACCCGGACGCGTACCTTCAACCAGCTAGTGCTTGGCCTACAAGAGCAGACCGGATGGGCCAACCCTCAGCTTCGCGTTGCTCAGAGACACAGTGAGGCTGGGCACAGTCTCGGCGCAGCTGTTTCAGCTTCGAGCCGTGCTGCTGCTCCGGCCGGTGGTGAAACCTCTGTACATAGACAGGACAACGCTAGAGCACCTTTTTTAACCGAGTTTCGACAGCAGGGAGGAGTTGATCCACTTCAGGTTGGTAGAGTCGCAGTTGCTGACACCAATGTCAGCCCCCAGCACCTGCACACCTTTTTCCCATGGACTGGTCACACCAGCCCTCAGCCGCAGTGTGTGCCGCCAAACACGGGAACGTGCACCACAGACTCCAGTCGCCCTCTGTCGCAGCCTGTGCACCCTGTTGGTAGCACGGCAACCGACCATGTCGCAAGTCCTTGTATGGACCATGCCACACAGCCTGGCCATCCTCTTACATACCCTGACGCTGCAGGGTCACAAGGCGGAAGGAAGATCGTGCTGCCAACGCCGATCTCATACATGAGAGCTGCACAGGTTTCATTTGTGCCAGAGGATTTTCCTCGCACCCAGCTCCACCTTCCGCAGCAGTACTTGCCGGATTTCTGGCAAACTAATCCCGACGAGGCAGGCTTGAGCAGGTTCACAGTTTTTGAACCAGGCTTCCGGCCGAGGACTAGGCGTTGCAGCCGGGATTGGGTTCTTGATGACTATGTCGCAGACGCAGTGGGCAGCGCAAGCAGCTCTATACGAGCTGTACAGCTGATTCAGCATCCTGTTGACGGCTACCCAAGGCCACAGGTGACCCTCACCCACCTGTCGGCACCTGCCCGCCATCTCGCGCTCGTCTATGATCTACGCATTATGCAAGAGGGCATTGTCACAGCCCATACCCCACCAACCGCTGAGTTGCACGAGCTCCCGGACATTATCAGGTCCGGCTCTCCGCTATCCGCAGCATTGCGGCTGCGGCCAGGTGTGCCGCTGCTGTTCACTGATGCAATCGGGGGCCAACATACTGCAATCCTACCCCCGCAGGAGAGATATGAGTGGGTTGTGCCCATCTTTGAGCCCGATGCTGCTGCCAATGCTGGGTCCAGCGGTACCACAGCCACTACCACTGCAATGCAGGGCTCCCCGCGACGCAACAGGATCACACAGTCATCGGCCTCTAGCAGCTCTTCCAGTGGAAGGCCGCCCAACCTTCTTGGAGCTGGCCCTGGGCAAAGCAGTGACGGTATCTCGAAGAGCCCAGAGCAAGGGGGTTCATATCTCGAACCTCGGTCCCTCTTGCACCCAGCCATGGCTTGCCCTCCGCATCCTGCACAGAGTGCCCTCAGATTTGCTTCAAGTCTTCAAGTTGAGCCGGAATGGGCTAACACTGCTATGAGACAGACGCAGCCGATCTGTCAATTCACATGGACAGGCATACATCTTGCTCCAGGCACCGCTCCTAGGGACTCTCTTGTCCACTACACTCTGTTCGACATCGTTGGACAGGTAAGGATCCGAAGAGCTGCTGCGGACTGGACATTGTATGAGATTGCGGCTGATGTGCTCACAGTCCTTCCTGATACAGTGTCTCAAAGGATACTAGGTGCAATAGTGCCAGGTTTACCCGCCCTGCAGATTGTTGCACGGCCTGACAGGGCTTTGGACACGCAGTGTCCTGTGCCAGTTGACCTACGAGCTACCGGAGGACCGATTTGCACCCTCCTCCTCCGGAACGGTGAGTCTCAGGCGCAAGCTCAAGCTGAAATTGCACAGCGCTGCCACGACCGACCCGCCGCTCTACTCACGGCCAGGGGGAACAACTTTGATAGTCTACCGATCCCTGCTGCACTTGTCGAGTTTCTGCAATCCGGCACTGGAATGCTGCCCAGCGTATCCCCAGCAGCCGCCTCCACCACCGAAACCACAACCGGGATGATGTCCTGGGCAGGCGGACCTCAACTTCAAATGCAACATCAGGTTACTGTGCTTACAAGACATGGCCCTGTAGACGGTCCTGTCCTTAGAGGCAGCCAGGACTTACCGTCCCAGCTTTCGCCGCTGATGACGCACATTCTCTCATACGACCATGCTCCCCGGCAAAGTACGCTGATGTTGGCCAGGGTCCATCCTGCCTCCCTTGATAGAACATTGCACATCATCTTTGTGTGGGCACGACGGCGGCCCCACGCTGTCAGTGTTGTCGTCGACAGACGTCTTGTCGGGGGCGCTCTTGATCTTGTTGAGGTCCCGCTCGGCACCACCCCGAGCCAGGTTCTGTCAGCCAATGACCGCGCCAGAGAATGGTACTACTCCGTCAACGGAGTATCGTCGAGCATATGGTGTCGCTCGCTTCGACACGGCGACCTTGTCCAACTGCTGCCAAAGAGGATAAGCCCCCCGATATGGGCGGTGGGGCGCACCATGGACTTTTTTCCGGAAGCGCGGGCGCTCACCATCCCCTTGCAGCTATTGGACATCGAAATCCCGCCGGAAGATCTAGACGGACCAGCCATCGACGCACACAATGCTGCAAGCATACAGGGGCAACTTGAGTACTTCATCGCTGCCAGACTCAATGTGCTGGGAAGACCCGGGCCTAACATGCAACATGTTGTCATCCAGGGTCCTACACATGGAGACATATACCTCCACATGAGGCTGCCCACGTCTCCGAGAGTTGAGCAACTCGAAGATTTTCTTCGGGACACGGACTTTTGGGATCGCAGCCTGCTTGTCCATGATTCAGGCTACGCGTTGGGGCCAGTCTCCTTTTTTGCATCATCGCAGCCCAATGTGCGTGCACTTACGGCGCTTGTCCCGTCCGCTGGGCCTGATAACATACTCGTTGTGCAACTTAACCCGGACCGACCAGAGCTGTCAGGTCATGTGCATCGCGCCGGCCATCTTAGGCCTGCACCTATCAGAGATCTTCGACAAGGGGTCTTCGTTGTTATGCGGCACATCGAACTCCCAGCCGGACAAGGGGTACAACTGCTCCAAACCCGTCTGCAACTGCATAAGGCCCCCCGGGACTCTGCCGCTGGTGATTGCCAAAAATCACCTGGCCCCGAGATTCCACCTGCACGAGAGGGCTGCAACACCCTGGCTCAGGGACCCTCTTGTGCTCCCTTCCAATGCGCCATACATGCCGACTGTTTGAAGCCACAGCCAATCAACATACCGACTCCCTTCGGCAGAAGAAAGATTTCCTGTGTCAACACGGCCGAATCAGCCCCGGTTCCTCTCTGCCCTAGGGAACCTAAGCAGGGTGCCGTGCTTTTACTTGAGGAGACAATTCCTGCCAAAACGGCTAGAAAGGGGCCTGGCAAGCTCCAGACCGGGGTGAATTCAGAGATGTTTGACTTCATCTTTCAGCAGTACGGGGTCGAATTGTTTTGGCAGGATTGGGGTCAAATCCCATCGGTCAAACCAGAGGCCAGAGCCTTCGTCGATAACTTGCCTCGCCTTCCTAAAGGCGCCCAGCCAGAAGCGCTTCAGCTCTACGTAGATGGATCATACTACCCTGCAGGTGAGACAGCCACTAAATGTGGCTGGGCTGTGGTCGCACTGGCCTTGTACCAACAGGAATGGTGCTGGCTCGGATGGTTTGCTACCGCGACCGACCCGAGGGGCGACCACACTTCGTTAGGAACTCCGGTATGCTCGTCTTTCGAGCCCGAGCTCAGCGCACTATGCTTTGCGATGGCCATAGGTGTGCGTGCTGGCGTGCCCAGTCTTATCGGCTTCGACTCGACGTCTGCTGGGGCGATAGCAGCTGCAACGGGTGCAGATAAAGATAATTCAGCGTTAGCGCAGGCCTGCCGGGCGCTTCTGCATCTTTCGCACCTATTGCACTGCCGACCGAATTGGCTCCACATCCACTCCCACCGAGGACATCCGCTCAATGAATTCGCAGACTCGGCGGCCAAGTATGGAGCACAAGCCGGCATCACTGATCATGTGCCAAGGGCCCTCCTTGAAGCACAAACAGCCGAAGTCCTTCCCTGGCTTTGGACTTCGCTCGGCCTCCACCCATCGGTGCCTAAGGTTGGACTTGATGGACTGCTTGCTGACGCTAGTGCAGTTAACAGCTCAAAGATGTCCCTCCGAGAAGCCCGCTCCCATCCGCCTGTCACTGAGGGTGTTTTTGAGTTTGCTTTCTCCGCTGTCACATATAACTGCTTGACTTTGCAGGCCAAGTCGCAACAAGAAAGCATTGCTGGGCAACTCAACCGAGCCTCCATCGCTGTTGCTGGCCTACAGGAGACGCGGACAGCATGTACCACACGCACCAGCAACCAGTTTTATCATGTTGTCGGCAGCTCTGCGCTCAAGGGGCAACTCGGCTGCCAATTGTGGCTTTCTCGGCAACGCCCGATTGCTCAATGTGACGGGCAGCCAGTCTGCTGGAATCCTGCCTCCATTAGCGTGATTGTTGCCCAAGCCCGGCTGCTTCTCGTGACAGCCAAAGCAGGCAATCAAGGGTTCGCTTTTCTAGTCGGACATAGCCCCACTGCCAAAAGTGGAAGCAAGGCCTGTGCGGACTTCTGGAATGGAGTTGACTCAGCGCTACGGCGT